CATGTCTCAACTAGCCCCTCTGTACCGGCGCCATGGTTCCTCCAGTCCCTCGACCCTCCATAATGGTAGACTGGCTCGGCCAGCCCCTCTGTGTCTGTGGAAGGACTCGCCTAGCCCTCTCCTCTCTACCACTGAGAGCAGGCGACCAGCCCCTCTGTATCAGTGGAAGGGCTCGCCCACTGCCCAGCGCTTTGTGATAGGCAGCGAGCGGCCAGCTCTCAACGCAGTGCCGATGGCAGCGCGTGATGCTGCGTACCGAAGGCAATACGCACTTTTGTGAATGTATGCAGCCGTACTCGCAGCAATAGTGACATGGAAGTAATGAATTGCGCTTCAGTAATTACTCATTTCAGTCATAATTATGTGTTAGTTATCATCATTTTCGGTGGTGGATCATACGCTCCACTTGATCGGCCGATGGCGGGTATTTTGGACAGATGGAGTGAATACTAATGCTGCTCCTAAACCCTGATGAGGATTCATTTTTAGTTGATACATGTTTCATAGCGCTTCCCATTTTGGCTGAACTGGGATGACACGATTGGATGCTATACCCGGATTTGATTATATTTAGAACATCTGTACGAGCTTGGCTGAAGCTGGATTGTTCCGCTGAATTGGATCAGGTAAAACTGCGGCTTCCGGCTGTTGCAATATGGATGAATGTTTACACAATGCAAGCATGCCTTGAACCGCGGCACTGTACTTTGTACTGTTCTGTGAAGTTTAGAAATATTTAACCTGTCTCATGCGCTAACTTGGGGTTGGGGGAATTCATCAGTAGGTATAGTTTTTGACCGTTGGGTTTTTACTTTGGTAGGTATTTGGTCTTCCTTAAGTTATTTTCCGATGGTTTCGAAATTGTGTTGAAGCGATCGGTTTTTGTTTTACCGTTGAGCCGTACAGTGTGCTGTTTTATTTAAAGTTAAACCTAGAACGCCTGGGGGGGGGGGGTTGTATCAACCCCCCCCCCCTGAGGTTTTTTCGAAGTGCACGCTAAACGGCTTGTCGTAGCGGGCTGAAATTTTCAATACCCTCTGGGGCAACCTTTGCGCATCTTTTGCCGAAAAAAAATTGATCGGGTCATGTCAGGTCACGGAGTTATGACGTCATAAGAGGTACAGCCTCCGGCCGGATTTTCACAAACTGAGTGCCAACGCCCGAGGTTTCCTGCCGGTGGTACGGACATCGGCTGATGGATCGTGATGAAACTTCCCATGCATGTTGGGGCAAGTATTGGCTATCATATGGTATAAGAAATTTGACCGGGTCAGGTCAGGTCACGGAGCTATGACGTCACAAGAGGAACAGCGTCCGGTACTATTTTTGAAAAGCGCCCGAACCACTATTTTGCTAATTCTTGTCACCTCAATGGGAATATGCAGCAACATTAGCTTCTATAGGGAGCAAATGGACCTCCCAAATCAAAAACTACAATCAGATTTCAAAAATTTAAATTTTGATTTTTCGAATTTCTGCCGCCGACTGTGACCTTGCCGACTTCCGGCGCTCCCAACGCGCCATTTTTAGAGCTAGGGAAACGAAATACATACCAAACGATAGAGAATTGATCAAGGAACACGATAGTGAAGGTTTCAAGTCGATATCTCCCACCGTTTTGCCGCAATCGCCGCCGAAAGTTGAAAAAAGTCTATTTTCCGAAAATTTGACCTTTGACCGGTCAAAAGTAGGTCAAATGTTGACCTAGGACCAAAAATATACCACCAATCGCGAGATCTCGTTGAGAGCAATCCGTTGGTTTTTTCCGCTAAGCTCTACGACCTTCCGTTTCGAAACGCCAGGGGGGGGGGGGGTCGTAACAACCCCCCCCCCTGGTCGTTCGTGTTATGAGAAATGGCCTGGTCGTGCGAGGGTTAAACTTTTTATCGTAAATATCGCTCCTTTATTCGTCAATATCGTCTGGCAGGTGGCATTGTTGGGAAGTTCGTTTCGTCCCTCGGTCGCTAGATGACGGGATTGTTGTCCCCATAGGCGCGGGAACCGGGGGGGGGGGGGCAGCGGGGGCAGCTTGCCCCCCAACTCGGGGCCGTGGGGGCGGTGCCTCCACAACTTTGAGACGGAATACCGTTTTTTTTTGCAAATGTTTTTTTTTGTTAAAAAAAAAAACCAAGGGATGAAAAATAAGTGGTCTAAAACTGGTGAGAAAACTAGATTTGGGGGTACCCAAGGCTGATCTCTATTATGGTGTGCCCCCCCCCCCCCGCCCCCTCCCCAATCTGAAGGTAGTTCCCGCGCTCCTGGTTGTCCCTCGCTGCTGCTGGCAGTACCAAGTAGCATACCCCGGTTGGCACACTACATAAATGTGCCTGCGTCTAGGGGTGCATCTTTGTCCATCGTCTCAAGGCTTAATTAAAGGAAGGGTGCCACCTTTTGGACACAACGCAGTTTTTACAAGATTAGCCTCACATGAACCTAAAAACCGGCTTCACTTACCTATGCTCGAGACGGTCAGCATTGAATCCGCACGTGAAGTTATCATTTGCGAGTTTTGCTGCCAGCATTCGGGCAGGCAAAAATCTTCAGCACTATTTCCTCGTCGTGTTAAGGGTATTTTATAAAACATGAAATCAGCAAAGGTATGTATAAAAGTTATACTTTTGAAGCATGTTTAATCATTTTGAAAGGGTATATTTTTTCTTTATGGTATACACTTAAGTTTTAAAATTTTAATTGGGAAGTTTTTCTAGTAAGTTGCATGAAGGGTGAAGGGTTCCATAGATCTCTTAAGCATTGTAAAGGAAAAACCTTTACTCGACTTATTTGATGTTCTTTAACTGTTGGCAAATATGGCCAACAGTTACCTACTTGGTTACCTACAACTTAGTTCAAATCATGTTATCTTCTTCCTTTTTATTTGTTCATCATTTTGTCTCAGTTGCGCTATCAATGCAAATGGCAGAATGATATGTTGCCATGACAACAGGATATGCCAGCCGTCCTAGCTGCCACATCAAACGACCTTGAGTTGTAGTGGTGATATAAACAACGATCTTTTTTTTGGCCAATGTATTAAATGCAATGTTTCGGTTTTTTGTATATTGTGGACGCGCTAACCACGTCTAAAAATTCAAATAAGTAAAATACATTCATAGAACAAAAATTTCGGAAGGTGGCACCCTTCCTTTAACAGATGCGAATGATAAGTCATGTGTGATATTGTTGCCAAGGTAATTCAACCAAGATTTAAAGTTGAGCAATTGGATCTAGCGTAGCTTCCAATTTTGTGGTGCTATTCTTACCGTGAGATATGCCAGCTCTGAACTCAATTTGATAAAGTTTCTGTCTGAATATTCGGAGAGTTCTCATGCTGCCTTGGGCTATTGAATTGAGTTTTACTCGTTGCAACACTTCAGGCAGTTTGCCGTTTGCAAGATGTGCGTATTTTAAGATAGTTTTTCACTTCCTGTCTTAGATTTCGCCAACAACTTTTCCTGAGAACCGAAGTTCATTAGCCCAAGAACTTTACAGAAGTCTTCCTTTCACTCTAGCATGTAAGCCACGTGCTGACTTACTCCCGTGATCTGTACGCCGATAAATCTTTTTCACTTTTTCGCAGATGTTAAATCCATTTTACGAACAACATACAAGGTTCGCAGTATCTAATGAATTCTGGATCCATAAGCATCTAATGTCTACGAGATCTGATGTGGGGCTGAATTATCAGAAATCGGGCTTTGAAAGCTCTTTTCAAAAGCTTGAGTTACGCTCCTTGATATCGTTTCTTGCAATTCTATGATCCGTGATTGTTTTGAAATATATGGAACCGACGGAGCAGTCTTAGTCGGGTCCTGTGTTCGCTGATTCCGTCCCAATCTGGCCGTCTATCTAACCGTAATGTCTTCCCCTGCTCCGTCTCTCGTCTGATTATGATCATTGACGGTCACTGTTGCTCACCCGTGCCCATCGAACTGTCGTGTCTTCCTCCACCTCGTTACCTGTTCGATTGTCCTGTTCGATTTTTTGGTCACTCCGACTCAGACATTTGTACGAATCTCAGACAACCAATCACGAAAATCGAGCTGGCCATTAGATTGGCGGTCTTCAAGCATGCAATTATGGTATAAAACATGGCTAATAGAAGCCTCTCAACAAACAAACTATTTTGCATTCGTTCAGAGTTTACAGTTCTGTGACCTCCCCCCCCCGCAAGATCCATCTCGGATCCATCAGCCAGAATTATGGATCCGAGATGGATCTTGGGGGTTTTCTCAGAACTGTTAACTCTGAAGGCATACAAAATAGTTTGTTGAAAGGCTTCTACAAGCCATGTTTTCAAACCATAATTGCATGCCTGAAGACCGCCAATCTAATGGCCAGCTCGATCTCCGTGATTGGTTGGCTCAGATCCGTGCACATGTCTGCTCCGACTCCGATTCCGGCTTAAAAATCAACTCTGACTCCAGCTCCGAGTTCCGACTCCGTTCGTCACCCTTTAAGTCCATATGATGATGGTTAAATTCATGGCAGATTCCGTGACAGCCGCGGTCTTCTGTTTTTTTTTTTTTTGTCTTGTTTTCTCAAAACGCTCATCCAAAACAGGAGCATGGCCTCAGCTTCGTCAAAATGTGTTGCGGAAAGGTCAACGAGCGTGATGTCAAGCAAACAGGTGTAGGGCATGTCTTAGAGCCATGCATTGCTAACCCCGACGGTAAGATTTTGGCGACTCCGACTCCGACTACGGGCAGAACTGTCGACTCCGACCGACTCCGACTCCGACTCCACAGCCCTGGCCCTGACCGTCTTATCTCGCATCCCATACTTTGTCTGACCGTTCTGCTTCTCATCCTGCTCCCCGTATAGTCGTCATATATCCATTTATCCCGTGCCCTGTCTGTCTTGTTTCTCTGTTCCCCGTTTCCCGTCTCACAGTCTGGCTGTCCTGTTTCCTCTCCCGTACCCTGTTCCTCTGACTGTCCTGCCTCTCATCCCATCCCCGTCTGACCTTCCTCCCCCTGTCCTTGCTCCTGCGTGTCCGGCAGACCGTGAGATCGGCAGTGAGATCTCGGTGTCGCCGGTGCCGCCGCTGCCGTCATCGGACGGAGGCGGCGGCGGTGACCTGCGCCCGGCCCGCCGCCGACCTCTGGCCTCCTCCGCCTCACCGCCCTCCTCCGGACTGGTGGCCAGCACCTCGGCCTCGCTCTCCGTGCCACTCGGTAAATGAGGGGACTGTGGGCTGGGAGTAACCAACAGTGCCTCCTCCGCCTCACCGCCCTCCTCCGGACTGGTGGCCAGCACCTCGGCCTCGCTCTCCGTCCCACTCGGTAACTCGGGAGGGGAGTTGTGGGCACCCGACTGTGCCTCCGGCTATGGTGTTTTTGATAATTTCACTTGTTATAATTTTGAGAATATGTAGGCATGTGCTTTCTCTCCTTTGAAGAACTCGTATGACACTGAGCCCTTTGTTATATTATGGATTTGAACAGTTTTCTGTCATACCCTTCTCTTCTATTCCGTGCTCACTGTTCATTTGGCCTATGTGTTGCATCATGCAGATACAAAATGGCAGGTGACATAGGGAGATTAATCAGGGCATCTCCTGAATACTACGGTCGGCCATCACAGCATGTGCTTTTAGCAAGCGCGTCTCTTTTTTAGGTATGTCCTAACGAATTCAAACTCGATCCCTTGCCTTCTCTCTCGTTGATGACTCGTTTTGATTATGAGACAACCATGGCATCACGCTGGAATCAGGGATGTCTGCACATTGCACTGTAGGCCGGCAGCCCGAAAAAGCGCTAGAAATTCCCCCAAACTGACTGTCCGCAATATGAACAAAATAGGTATCATTTAATCCCAAATTGATCGAAGAATATGATTCCGATGCCATTTTTGCCCTAAGGTCGAAATTGAGGTGGTCAGTTGTCACCAAACACAAGACTATTTAGACTCGCTAGTGGCCACCACATTTGCCGATTTTAATGTTAATCTTTAGTTGATATTTATTAGTTGACCAGTTGTCGTTTTGAACGCAGTTTTCTGTCAGACTAGGTCAGGGCACTGTTGTTCACTGTACCAACAACATTCTTACATATTGCATCGCTTTTCTGCAAGATAAGCTAGCTTTTTGCAAGCAGCTGCAAGACCTAAATAAAAATCATGTCTAAATTTTTAAATAGACTTTTATAAAAACGTTATTTCGAGCAGCTAAAAATAAACATCTTATACTAGCCGCTGAGTACTCATCTTTCGTTCCATATAGGTGCTTTGCTGCTTTTCCCTGCTACTTTTCGAGATATGCGCCAGTAAACCACATGATGTAGGGGCAATTGTCACCTCGCCGCTCTACTGAATGCCCGGCATTCTTTATAGCGCTGGAAGTTGTGAAAAACTAACGCTTATAATCTGAATAAAATATATGTCCCTGAGCTCAGAATTGATCAACGCACACAATGCTGTCAAATTTTTTGGGCCAAACTAAAAAATTCAGTCATTATTAACCCCCAAACACAAGTAAGTGATAATCAACAACAACTTGCTCTTAAGTTAGACTTTTTGAGAAATGTTATTTCGAGCCGCTAAAAATGACCGTGCCATACAAACCACTAATCATCTTTCTGTCATGCCCTACTCGCAATTTTTGCTAATGCCTGCTACTCTTCGAGGTCACGTGACATCACCATTAAAAGTAAATGGGGAGATAAGGAAACTGTTGTTTTTGCGCATGGAATGATCTCAAACTATCTCAAGCACACGGAATCGTGATTTCATGCACTCCTTGCAAGATCCGATGCTTTACTTTTGCATTTTTGACCTTCCGTGACGTCATTTATGACGTCACTACGGTCATAGGAGTTTCTTGTCAATAACTCATGATCAAATTGAGCCAGCGACTCGGGAAAGCCACCAATGGACTCGGGAAGACCTCCTGAATCGAATGATATGCAATACGACCTCATTCGATTAAGTTCGTGGCCTGATGGGCTCTGACCTGACCTTGACTCGAGGTCAACACCTTAAGTTGACCTCACCCGAACAAAAAGTATACCATTCGACGCGCCTGAGCCAGGCAAACACGATGGTGCCAAAATCGCTGCTCTGCGGCCATTTTATGCGAAATTATTTACCAAAAACCAAACCCTACCTTGGGCTTTTTGACTTCACCTCAGAGGTTACCGGTTGACATGGGACCTTAAAATCGGGTATCAATCGTTCCGTCTTGAAACGGCGCACACGCTTGTTTTTTCCGCGAGGCTCTAGCTCCATTAGGGGCGAAACGGCGAAAAGGGGTCGTACCAACCCTCCCCCCTCGGCCGGCCGAGGGGGTGGGGGGTCCGACAATAGGTCCGGCGAGGGTTAAGCAGCCCCACTTCGTTTTTAGCATGTTTGCTTGTCGCTGAAATCAACAACTCAATCACAAATAATTTCTAGCACTTTTCCGGGCCCCCGGCCCAGTGTGCATTGGTGGCACGGTGACGCGTCCAAATATCACCAGTAGTGGCGCAGCATTACCTACCTATCCACAGATACACTTTCACGGCTGGTGGATGGATCCACACTCCACTGGTCACCAGCTTGTCGGCATGAATGAACTCACTCACTGTACTGTTGTCCCTAGCGGCTGTGTTTTTGCCGCCCGGTAAAAAGTGGCCCGTTTTTACGCCTGCCCACGGCGCAAATGGGTGCGTGCGCCGCCGCGGTGCCGGCGCTCCTCTATCTGATGGCATGGCACGCCGAGTCCGGACCGAGAAGCGAGCCGCGTCATTGATCGCTGCGTTACCATGCGGATACCGGTCCCGGTGTCGATGGAACCGAGCGGCGGGTCGAGGCGCCGTGCCGAGGCAGAAGCCGTTGGCGGTGGGCATGGTGGTTTTGATGGAAGCTGGAGGCGCCGTGGTTTGATGGCAGCATCTGGCTTCAGGCATATTAGACTTGGTGGCGTGGTTCATTGAATGTTGTTTGCTGTCTCAAACCGACTGGACGCACATTGATACTTTTTGATGATGAGAAGGAAAGATTAGCTTCACTGGACCAGTCATGCTTGGCGAGTCGGTCTCCGTCGACAGCCACTGGCTCACCATCAGCCGTCTCTCGGTCCTTGGTTATCAGTGGAGTAGGTGCGCGCCACTCATTACATTCACGCCCTGGTGATTGCTTCGATAGACGCCAACTGTGCACCCTATCCGGCGCAGACACCTCCCGTGGTCTGGACGGACACATGGCGGGTGTGACAGACATCTGGGATTGGAAGTGATTCCAGAAGATTAAAAAATAAGCAAGTAATATAGGGTTTTTCTGGTAATCAGTGCTTAATGTTCACTGTTCAGTAGCTCGGTTTCAACTTTTTGAAAGATTCGTAGTGGTTCGTTTCTCGTCTTGGCGTTCTGTGTATGAACTCCGGTAACTTAACTACCGTAGCTGTTGATTAGCATTCTTGTTTTACTTTTTCATGCTGTTTTGTACGTTCTTTGAAAGTTGCGGCGAGAGTCAATATTTTCTTCTCCAGAATGGTTCAGCCCTTTTTTGTTATCATGCACGGGCACATATGCATTTGCTTATTACTGGCCGTTCATGCTAATTTATCAAGCTTATTTGATTTTTTCAGCCATTGTTCAGCTCAATGGCCGAAAAAATAAACAATATTTTTGGTAATCCGGAGCTGGCAATGACCGACTACCACTTGATTTCTTATCGCTCAGCTTGTAAGGCTGCGACACCCTAAGCTCATATCATTAATCCCAAGCCTCACGCGACTGTCGAGGAAACGCGCTGACCCAAAGCCCGCTCATATCAGTCACATTAAGGCCGTTTCACATCACAGCTGATTAAAAGCCCGGCCTCACCGGTTAGGTGCATGCCTGCTGCGCCAGACCGGTGCGTGCCGAGCTGTGTGACGTGCCAGGCGCGACCATGGAACGCAGAGGTCTGGCCGCGTGACACAATATGTGGCGGGCCGCGGCGTCCGCCTAATCGATGGTGATGTGTCGGCACTCGGCCGTGGTGTTGCCGCATGCCTGATGCGGCCGGCTGTTGTGACGCCTTTCGGTGAAGCGGGGATGGTCGGGCCACGAATGGGCGGATTGAGGACGGCATGAGGCTGCCATGATGTGTGTCCTGCCACCTGTGTCGTGCTGTGCTGCCAAAGTATGTGTGTGTTCTGTGTCGCGCTGTGATGTGGTATGGTGTGTCCTGTGTCGTTCCTTACTATGGTATGATGTGTATGGTGCTGCGATATGCTATGGTATTTACGAGTGTACTGCCGTGGTATGGCATCGTTGTGTCCATCATCGTCGTTACTGTCGTGTCCTTGGTATGTTGGTAGGTTGTCGGCCGTGCTGTGCCGTGGTATGTCGTGTCATGTGTCGCCCCGTGCCGAGTCTTGGTATGTCCTGTGTTGGCTATACCGTGGTATGCTCTCCTTTCTGTGCCGTTGTGTCTGGTATCGCGCCGCGAGGTGTCACGGGGGCGTGTCGCGCGCGGCCGTGTGCCGCAGCCTACCGCGGTGGGCGGCGGCCTCGCGCACCGTGCGCCGGCCTCCGGAGAGCGCCGCGCGCCCGCCGCCTTTGTGTGGCTCTCATGGCGTCGGCGATCGATAGCGACGGCAACAGGGCCGCGCATGCCGCCGCTGCCGCCGCGCCCCGCCTCCGTCCGCGGACTCGGGGACCTCGCGCCCGGTCACCGGGTCACCGGGGATCTGAGGAACAGTGACACAGGGTCAGAAAGGGATAGGGATGGGACGGGGACCTCGCGCTGGGTCACCAGGGAACGGGGGTCTGATGGTCAGGGTCAGGGAGATGGCCAGGAGATGGGACAGCTCTGAAGTACAGTGACACAGGGTTAGGGAGATAACGGGGATGGGACGGTTTAAAGGGACAGTGGCTCAGGGTCGGGGAGATGGCCAGGGCTGGGACAATATTAGGACAGTGGAAGCTAAGGGACGAGATGTTTCCGAGAGACAGCGGCCCAAGACCAGGAAAGTAGCGGTTATCAAACTGCTCCAGCTATTTTTCAATAGAAAAACACAATTCTAGCGAATAGTGTTTGTCTATTTTAAACAACCTGCGGTTATGGAGATGGCCGAGAGATTTGATATTCCTGAAGGACAATCCTACCGGGTCAGGTAAATGGCGTGGGGATAGCTGCTCCTGATCACGCAACGTCCATTGTCCATATAGAAACGGATTCCTTCGTTGCGGCGTTACACTGCGTTGATGAC